GTTCTTTGGTGCTTTTTTTTTCATAGTTTGATCCAGCATTCTTGCGGAGAAATTAACCAGATTTCATCATTGGTTCTGGACTTCTGGTCTGTGCGTGAAATTGGATTCACATCAAGTTTTTGTTTCCTATAATCGATCTTGACTGAGTCTTCTTCAACCTTTTTTTTTATCTTTATTAATTATTAGTACGTTTAATTCCTGCATGATTTGATTTTTTTTCATTATTATAGGAATCCTTCCATGATTTCTCTCTGCATGCATGCATGTAAATATAATATATACAGCTAGTTAGTATTACATTACATTATTAAATTCGTCTGCGAATTGAATGTGTGCAGCGCTAGGCGTGAATGGAGCGGCATCGTTCAGCTTCACCAACGCGTGCCAGCACCCAGTGTGGGTGGGCGCGCTCCACGGCGCCAGCTCGCCGCCGCTGGCAAGCTCGGGCTTCTACCTGGCGCCGTCCGCCACGTCCCGCCTGGACGCGCCGTCGTCGGGGGCATGGTCGGGCACGTTCTGGGCGCGCACGGGCTGCGGCGTCGACTCCACCACCGGCCGCTTCTCCTGCGCCACGGCGGACTGCGGCACGGGCGACGTCGCGTGCCAGGGCCGCGGGCCGGCGCCGCCGGTCTCGCTCGTCGAGGTCACGCTCGCCGGGCCGGGCAGCGGCGGGGCGGACTTTTACGACGTCAGCCTCGTCGACGGCTTCAACGTGCCGGTGCGCGTGGCGCCCTCGGGCGGCGGCGGCAGTGGGGACTGCCGCCCCGCGGCGTGCGCGGGAGACGTCAACGCCATGTGCCCCGCGGACCTCCGCGTCGTCGCCTCGTCCGGCGGCGGCAGCGTCGTGGCGTGCAAGAGCGCGTGCGGCGCCTACGGCAGCGCGCGCTACTGCTGCACCGGACAGTACGGCACGCCGGCGACGTGCGGGCCCACCAACTACTCCCAGGTGTTCAAGAGCGTCTGCCCGTCGGCGTACAGCTACGCCTACGACGACGCCAGCAGCACCTTCACCTGTTCCGGCGCTTCCACCTATGACATCACCTTCTGCCCTGGGAGCTGATTAATGCCGTGATATGATTAGTGATAGCGTAAAAATCGATCACGGGCAGAGGATTATGATTCTTATATTTATTTGCTTAATAAAGATCACACAAATTTATATAGAGAGATCAAGTAGAAGCATGATGATGCAAGAAATTAATTTATTCCATACATATGCTAATCACCCATGGAAACTGGAAAGGAGGGTGGTTCAACGCTCTAATGAAATGTTTCAATGCTTTTGTACCGTTGCCATTTTGGATGGATGATACAAGACTTCAACATCATTTATTTATTTATTTATTTTGAGAGCTATACATTGCTTTTTTTTCCTGTTTTGGTAATCAGTGTCATACATATGGCAAAGCAAGCGCGCCTTGGCAACTTTGGCACTTTATTTTCATATATTCATATATAGCTAACCTCTTATTCCATCTATTTATATACTGTAAATGTATATAATGTACTTCTCTCCTATTTCATTCATTTACTTCGATGCCCAAATGCACTTGCTCGCGAAAGCCATCCATCAGCACCTGGGTTCAACAAACACTGCTGTTGTTCTTTTTGGCACGGTGAATCGACCTGTGGTGGCCTCGTAGGCAGACTGCCTGACTAAAGCATCTGATGAATTCACCTGAAATATTTCATATAAGAACCATTAGATATTAACTTTATTAAGTTTTTACTGCTTCAGATCCATCTTTTTCTTCACACATCAATTTGGATTAATGATTAAATATTTAAATGGTTTATGAAAGAAACTGATACTCCAAAGTACAAGGTTACATTTCTCCTTGCAAATTAGTGCTTATTCAATATTACACACGATTTGCAGACCGAACAGTGTTCACATTTTTCACAGTTTTATTACACTGACAACAGAGACGCGTGGTGCAATAAAGCTGCAAATCATGAGACTCAATTATTCTCTATTCAATTTAACAGGAAATTTCACTTCCCAACTACACTAGAAAGTGTGAATACTGGACTGGGAGTAAAATCGTAACAATGGTAACAGAGCAATGCTGTGAGCCTGTGACAACTGCCTATTGTTGATGAGAGTATGATTAGTTACCTGCACTGGATGCAACTGAAGCCCCAGTGATGAAAGATCAGGGATTTCTATAGACGCTTCGTACGGACATACATTGAAGACTGCAACGACATAAGAGAAGCTGTGGAAAGTCATAAACAGTTAGCTCTTGCAGAGAACATCAAAAGATCTCCATAGCAGATACATAGAAGTGCAGAGAACTAAAATATTGTAATTAATTTTCAATTTTCAGCTAATATAAAAAAATTTACATTGTCCAAGACAGGAATATAAATATATCAATGCTGCTTACGTTTCATCTATCTGGGCCATCTCATGCCTATCATTTCTAGCATCTTCAATGCTCATGACAATAACTCCTGGAACCAAGGAGGGCCCTGTGTTGTGAAAGCGAACCCTTTGCTGAAACAAGATATGACAGCTCGTGACAGTCAGTATGAGAGAAAGAGCCAGAGATCAAATAAACAAATGGTAATTCTTTTCCCCTCAAACACAGCTCATTATATTAAGAGGAAACATGCCATCCAAAACAATAGACACACAAACTAAAGACATAAAACACATTACATGAACAGGACTCATGACTACAGCTAGCAACAGAACAACCAAAAACAGAAAAAAATATCAAGATAGCAGCTTTTTTTTGGCGGCAGTTGGTTTTTATTAGTTCATTTGTTGTACCTATGCTGTGGATCTGAAAAAACAAATGTTACAGGAGGATTATTGTTTACTCTAATTTTCAGGCAATAATTGGTTTCCAACCGCATGGTGTCAGTTGACATACATTTGTGTCCCATTGCAAAGTATAGCTCCATGGCACATGAAATCTGTAAATTTTACTTGATACATAGATCAAAATTTGTAGAAAGGTGGTTTATGCTTGTGCTTAGCAAGGAAAAGCTGCTCATCTATATGATAGCAGTACAACAGTCTGGTGAGGTTCACAAAGAAATCCATGTACCTCAATGTCACTTGCTGTAGTTAGACGAAAGAGAGGTGATGAGTATCTGATCTTCAGGATATTGACAAAATTGTCTAAGGCAGCAATAATGTCACATTTGGCAGGTTTGAATGACGGGTTCTCCAATCTTGGCTTCATCCTGAAAATTTTCATATTATGCGATAAAATGATCACTTGCTACTTTACTGCAAAAGGGAAACAATATGATATATAACAAAGATAGAGGAAGTGTTCACTTCAGCTGCAATAAATTAAATCACACGGTTATCCTGCATCATTCAAAAATAAATAAATAAATGCCCTATGAAGTCTCAAGAAGAATTTGAAACTTACAAAGGCCAACTCCCTTCATTCTTTTCTCTTGGTGGAAGCCCAACACCCCAATTGTTTGTTTCATAGGTGAAATCAATCCTTCAAAAAGGAAGAGAACAGAACATTTACCCTGTTTTACATTCTAAGTGACTGGGAAGCGTTCGCTCAACTTAAAATAGTTCTTCATATAGGATAAGAATCGAGAAGTTATGGTAATGACAAGCAATTGTAAATGTTCAATTTAAAATTATCATCCCTGAAAGCAATTCAATTTTTGCTAGCTGGTAATTGCTGTTTGTGTCAAGATCCAAAGGCCAGAGCAATACTTGTTAAACCAATCACCAGAGTTATATGAATCTCGATCAAGCGACTTAGATCGTAGTATCTCATCGCCAGCATGGAAAAAGGGTATTCCCTGGAAGTACACATAAATACATAATGATACAAAAATGAGAAACCCATTCCAAATTCTTAAGTTATTGGTCAATGCATGAAAAGTTGAAAACATATAGTACATGGATATTAAGAAAAAAAAAATTACATAATCAGCAGAATATGTTAGTGCTGAAAGCTGAAAAAACAAATCAGGTTAGATCATAGTACAATGTGCCTCTGAAGGAGTTTAGCTAAGCCTCATAATATTTATAGTTTTGTGTCCCAATATTTACAAATACTAACATCCTAACAAAAGGGGTCTCATGTTTACTTATCCAAACGAAGTAATCTGCAATTGGTATCAGAAAATACGACCATTTAGTGATTCCATACGCAGCAACAAGTTTAAGGGTTTTTTTTCAAACCAGTAGTAGAGCTGTGTACCATTATATTAAGAAGAAAAATAAGTTTAAGGTTTAGCTGATGCGACTACCACTATGCTAGATAGATCAGACAGGCCACACCACACATTTTACTAAGCAAATTATTTTAGTGGAAATTCAAATTCAGATTATCCATATTGAAAAACAAGTGATCAATAAAAACTTTCATAAGGACCTGAGATAATGCAATCATGCTTGTGGACAAATGATTTATCCTGCATCGCTCGTCAATTGAGAGGTTCATCGGAGTCTGCACAAGCAAACCAAGGAAAAGCTTCAGAAAGTACCAGATCACGCCTGAACTAGAGAGTAAAATTGTTTCTGGAAAACTATATTGTCACATAAATAACATGCTTACTTTACAAATATAAAGCATAACTTCAAAAGGTAGCAAATACTGCAAGCAGTCAAAAAAGTGTAACAAAACATCCACGGTAATCTGTCTTGCCAGTAAATGTTTTTTTGAAGAAAGAAAAAGAAAATGATTGATTGGCAGATTGATAATTGATACCGAACAATAAGTAAATTGCAGTCAATTTCCTGGATATCCTGATAAGTTCCATACCTTTAGACTAATAATATCAAATAGTGTTTCATTGTCATGAGCAGAGGCATAGTTGATCTGAAATCCAAGAAACAGTGGTATGTTTCAGTAACTGAATTTTTAGCAGAATAAATAAGGAAAAAAAGTAATTCAATTATGCAGGCCGTCCTAATCAGAAAGCATATTATGCTCCTCCAGAATGTATTCCTGGATATTCCAATTTAATATATACAGTTTTTTTATAAAAAAAAAAGTTCACAAATTTACTATTTCTATAGGGGATGAAGCATAGCCAACTGGTGAGCCATCGAAGGTGCGAATTTCAGATCCTTTCCTAGCTTCTCCAGTATGAGATATTAATACATAGTCCTTCAAATTGCCAGCTAATCCAATCTGCAAGGAATGCTATGCACATAAGAAGAAAGTTCCAAAATCGGCTCATAGTGATAGTTCTTGTTAAACAAAATTTAAAATTCCTCTGTTGATAAAGGAGTTCCTTCATGGACAAATACTGCAAATCTTTCTAGGAACACCTGTTTGTTCAGACTTTCTGGATATGAAAGACAAACATGGAAAATTCATAATATACTTGGTTGTAAGAAAGACTTAGCATATAATTGATGGAAGCAAACAGAAGACAACTTACAGAATAGGAAAATGAGAATTTAGAAGTTTTGATGTTTTGCTGGAGCCTGAAAGCTTCAGAATTTATTTATTTTTTTGTCGTGTAGAGGGTATTGTGTAGGGTTTCTTTTCAGGTCGGATCGTGCTTCTGTTGGTGTCGCAATCTCATCTTACCTCCTAGGTGAGATAAGCAGGTCTCTTTGTACAGGGTTCTTCCCCTATTCTCTCTCCCTGAAATATAAAGGTATGCAGTTCTCCTGCGTGTTCGAGATTTTTTTTGAGAATTTAAGGTAAAAGTCAGTTCAGGTGAATGTTCATAACAACAAATTTATGGTAAAAGTAAGTTCAGGTGAATGTTCATAATAACTTACAGGTATACATTTATACCACTTAGTGTCAATGTAAATACCATTTCGTTCTCTTTTACCATGAAATTTAGCATTAGCAAATCATCACTCATCATTATTAATTTCTTATTACAGCTGAACTAGTTACAAGGCTGCATGCACTTGCATCCAAAATACTAACTGTCACGGGCCTAAATACGGGTCCCCGAGCCGGGCTAAACGAGGCCCAGAGGAGGGCCCTGGCCGGTCACACCCTGGCCCAAGGCACCGCCAGGGGCGCGCGCGACCCGGGGGCGGCCTCTATGGCGCCACCAGCCCCTCCCACCTGGAGGAGTCCAGATTAGATGGGAATTAAAGAGAGTTAGATGAGGATTAGAAAAAGGAAATAGAGTCTGTTTAGGAAAGGAGAGTCCAGATCTATAAGGACTCTACCTATAGATTGCTTGGAGGTCAAGTCCCCTAGGGACTAGAAATATAGGGGTCATGTAACCATTTGGATCTTAAGCAAGAATAGAGCATTGCTCTTCCCCTACCCCTCTCCCTGTCTATCTCTCAGTGCCTCTCTCCCTCTCTCCCTGCGCCTCCCTCTCCTTTCTCTGCGCCTACCCCTGCCCTAGCCACCGCCTACCTCCCTCCCTGCGGCCTGCGCCATTCACAGCAGCCGCACCCCCCTCCCCTAGCAGGGCTGTGACACTAACTAATTAACTTTATTCAGCTTTGCTACATTTCGACATGACTGTTGCATTGAGGAAATCCATTTTTGGCTAAGAGCCCAAGACATTACTTCTTTCCCTGAATTGTATCCATGTGGTTGCTAACAGAAAACCTCCAATTTTTCCTATAACAGAGCTGCATCACACATATGTAACAATCGATTCTACGATAGAAGCAATTTTTCATGCCCGCTTGTATAGTAAGTTCAACATACAACAGAAAGTGAAGATCAGCAACAGATGTTGCAAAATATTGATCTCAAATATTCAATCTCTCGTTTTCTCATAGGCCACCATTGACAGTGTTTATTTATATATCCATGCAATAAGATAATACTAGTGAATAGAATATGTTCCCAATTAAATTGGTGCACAGGTAAATACCTAGTTGAAACTCAGCAAGCTGGAAAAGAAGAACCAACCTGTATATGGTCAGCGTATGTAGCAAGCGTGAGCCTTGTCTCTGTGTCATTGCCCTGATAAAATCCATTTGGCTGCAGAAAAGGATCAATACAAACTAATAAAGCAAATTGAATTTTGGAGCTAATCCAGTAAGATTTCAGATAATTGTTATCTTTTATCTTGAATGGCACAGGAGAGCTACGTGCTATTTCATTAAGAGAGACAGAGGTACAGGTGTGGGCAACTGCCCCACCCAGAAACACACCGGCTAGAAACAAAAACAACAGGTGCCCCCGACTAGAGGAAAACATAACCAAGGGGGCGGCAGCCTACCAACAGAGCCTAAAGATCTCGGGTGAACAACCTAATGAGCACACTCATCAACCACTGTTTGCACGAGACCCTAAAAGTTTGGTGAGGCTCCCTCAAAAACTTAGGCATTCCTATGTTTCAAACCATCCCAGGCGACTAAGATGATTAGAGAACACAATACACAGCCCTCTGCGGAGTTAGGAGTGCTTCTGATCGTGTTACCCCACCATACGAAGAAGCAAGTTGCAGTGATTGGAGGTGCTACAGCTGCCATGGTAGGTTTCTGAAAACTTATTGTCCAGATCTGTCGAGTGAACACACAGGAGATAAGAATGTGCTGAATCGTTTCCTTGGGATCACAGAACGGACAGGCAGGCTGGTGGGGCAAACCACGCTTGGCTAGGCAATCGGCTGTCCAACACCAGTTATTGATCGCTAAACCAAAGGAAAAACTTACATTTTAGAGGGGCCCAGCTCTTCCAAATTCTTTTTCAGGGACCAAACTTGATAGATCCCAGGAAGAAGGCTGCATAGGCCAATTTGCTAGAGTATGAACCAGATTTGGAGAACTTCCAACGGTACTGGTCAGTAATATCTAGTCAATGCCATCCACCAAGTCCCAAATATGCAGATACTCAACTAGCACCTGTGCAGTTAGAGTTCCTTTGATATCAGCCACCCAGGCACGATGGTGAAGCACCTGAGCTTACTGTCGGTTCTTGACAACCCTGTTGGAGATCATCTTGTGCAAGTTTGTGCAGTTAGGGGCCAATCCTGCTATTGTCTTTCCCTGTAACCAATGATCAGCCCAGAACCGTATCTGCTCACCAATTTCAGATATAGTTTGATAAAATATATCAAAAACTAAGCATGAGAGTTTGTACTCTAAAATATTTTCAGTTCCATCGAGGGAAAGAAGATAGTAGATAGCTTAGTGGTTCAATCAATATCAATACCTAAAAATACTCTATACCTGAAGAATGCACGTCAGACCATCTGACAGAACTGGCAGACTAACACAGCTTAAAAACTATGCAAGCCATGGTACGAGAAACAAGTTTGTATGACCATGGATTGTACAAGTGGAGAGACTATCACTGCACCAGGCCTTAAAGGGTAAACAAGGAAATTGTTCTTGGCATATACTATTATAGTTTAAAACAAATTTGGTTCCAAATACTGCTGTTCAGAAAATTAGACCAGTAAGTGCATTGTTCTTTCGAATAGTTTAATCGAAAGAACCAACAAGGTTTCGGATATAAGCAGCAATTGGCAGAGGAATAGTCATAGATCCGGCTCTTGGCGTGCACAAGTAAATGAGTCTTGAAAACAGTAAACTCTTATTTGGATAGACCTCAGGAGTTTTCATTCTTTTTTTGAACGGGAAATACAGCAGGGGAAGCCCCCACTGTAGGATTTTATTTAATTTTAAAACAAACATAAACCTGTACAAAGAGATAGAATATACAACAAACCAACCAGCCGGAGGGCTGAGGTAGCTACAGCAGGAAGGGAACCGCCGGCCCAAAGCCAGGGAGGTCTAAGAGAGAAGATCTAAACAGAGGAGAAAAGCTGCACATTTGTCATCTCTCATTCTAAAAGCTTGAAGTTTGGCCTCTTCACAGAAGAGGTTTTTCCAAGAAGAGAAAGAAGGCCGGCCTCTATCAAAAATGAAGTTGTTTCTCTGCTTCCAGATATGCCAAGCAGCAATGATGAAGGTCTCCATGAAGAAGGGATTTTGGTGTTGCTGTTTTGACTGTATCATCATTTGAAAGAATTCACTCTGAAGGTTCCAGTGGATTCCCATGTGCTGCCAACATTCCTGGCTGAAGGGGCAGCTGAAAAACAGGTGATAAGCAGTTTCCTCAACATTATTGCTGCACAGAACACAGTTGTAGTTATTTCCCTCCAATTTGTGCTTTTTTCTCCTAAGGATGTTTCTAGTATTTAGCCTATCCATGAGCAGAAGCCAGGAGAACACTCTGAGTTGGTTGCAGCACTTTGAATTCCAAATCCAGAGAAAGGGAGCAGGAGGCTGTAAATTTTTGTAGGGTAGGTGGTAGAATCTAGATGATGTATAGTTGCTGCTCCCCCACAAGTAACTCCAAGAATCTTTAGTATCTTGCTCCACCTGAATTGTTTGTATGTATTCCTGAAGATCTTGATATTCAAGATATGCTTGTTCAGACAAGGGGAGATGAAACTGTGATTGTTTAACAGAAATTGTGACACAGAGATCTTCTTGTTCTTTGCAAAAGAGTAGAGCCTTCGAAATTTGATCTGCGTGACATTCTCATTCCATAGATCTGACCAAAAGAGAAGGTTGATCCATCTCCAACTTTGCAATTAGAAATCCCTCTAAAAAGGTCGCAAAGCTTCAAAAAGGAGTTTTCATTCTCCTTTGTAATTCCTTTACTTTGTTTGGTTTGTACATAAACTTTTCTTAATAAAAAAATATGTGCCGAAGAGGGCAATATTACAGTTTTGTGAAACAAAAAGAAAAGAAAAGAAAAAAGAAACTGCAAGATTATATGGAAATATAAAAGCAGCAGAGGTCTCATTTCTTGATAGGATATAATTATAAATGGCATGAATATTACCTCTAAGAACAATCCAGTAGAGAAACCTTGTTGTAGTGGATTCCCAAATGGACTGCCACCATTTATAGCATCACGGATTCTATCGTTGAAACTGTAAATATGGTAGTGGTATGGGATATAGTCACATTGCATAGATTAGAACAAACTAAATACATAACAAAAAAAACAAAAGGAAAGATTCCAAGACAAGCTATTTACTAGATAAACTGTAACAAGATGCTTTCTTTTTTGGAATGTTGATACTTCACTTTTTCAGTCCATTTTATGATAGTTAAAATATACACCAAAATTTGTTCTGCATGTCTAACAAGGCCAGCTTGTTTACAAGTAGCAAATAAAAGGTGGCCACTGAACATCACGAGTTTGTTCCAATTAAACTTACCTAGCAATCCCAGTGCCACTCATATTAAGCTGGGATCCATTTATCCCACGTTGATTTTGCACAACTTCACCGAAGTCCCATCCTTCACCATACCTGTGACGATGTAAATGTCTTAAACAGTTGAACATATGGAAACTGTGTGCCAATAACATTAAATCCGATTGCTCTGAGGCTCAGGAATCTCAGTCCTTACAAGTATATCTTTGAACCATCTACTCCATGCTCATCAATTGTAAGGCTTTGAAGAGCCGATTTTGCTCTAATCTGTGTTCAACAAGCAGGATTGTTTTCAAGTACATAGTACAGTACACTAAATTACGAAAAAGGGAAATTCAACTGCCCACAGACATTCTGTGCAACAATCCAACCTCATTGTCACATGTCGCAAAAAAGCTAGTAACATTTGTTTTACTCAAAAGCACAAACTGTTCTTTCTCTCAAGTTTCTAAAATAATATGAACAGATGCATAGATTTAGCTTTTTGGTATTGAATTTCATATACTTATTGTTCCATCCTTGTTAAATAACAAAAAAAATGGTTTTCTCCATATTGACTGACATGCTAGACATAGATAACTGAGTACCTAAGGCAAAACATATCACCCACCTAAGCTACAAGGTACAAAATTCAGCAACTAAATCCACAGCCTGCATATTGATATTTGCTGTATTTTTGTCTTAAATATACCTTGCTGAAAGAAACTGAGGTGAGAATTTCATAAAGAATTTTTTTCTGAGAACGTGCTTAAAGAATATTTATTAGGTCCAGTTAGATCAACTCCAGCGAATCAATATGCTGAAATCAGAGGTTAAAAGGAAATTATTCAAATTGTACTCCCTCTGTTTTCATAATTTCTGTCGTTTTGGATGGCACGATCTCTAAAACATAGATTTGACTGATTTTATATAACAATATTACAAAAAATCAATAAGTCGTTTTAGCTTTTCTAGATACATAGGTTTAACTATATCTAGATGCATAGCAAAAGTTATGTATCTAGAAAAGCCAAAACGATTTTACATTTTGGAATGGAGGGAGTAATTTTCAAGACTAATCTATAAATGTTTTCTTTGCGTCTTCAAACTAAATATTAAAGTTCTAAAACGTTGACCTCAACCTTGTTCAAAATGTCAGGAATATGGAACCACAGGGAGTATAGTTTCAGTGCCACTGGAGAACAACTTCCACAAACAGCTATTACAGTATTCTCAAGAGACTTTTGGTTCTCCCTCCTGTCGCGCTTTGGTTTTGCAGCACTTGCTCCTCAACCTTCTGACCAATCATTTGATAATTGGTGGAGAAAAGTTGATAGTGCTGCTAGTGGAGATTATAGGTTGGGTCTGAATTCCCTAGTCATTTTGGGAGCCTGGAGCATCTGGCGGCATAGAAATGATTGTGTTTTTAATGGGGCAACCCCAAATGTTAACTTGGCTCTGGCTCTGGCTAGGGAAGAGGCTCATTGGTGGAGCCTAGCAGGAGCCAAGGGAATTTCCCTGCTCTCTGCTGGAGGATCAGTCTAATGGACTGCTGTAGGGTCATCTTTTTGTCTTTCTTAACCGGTGATCCAGTGTCTAGGTAGTGGTGTGTGTGTGTGTGGGGTTCGGGTCTATGTATGACTCTCTTTTTCTTCTATTAATACAATGATACGCAGCTCTCCTGCGTGTTCGAGAAAAAAAAACAGCTATTACTAAGTGAGATTTGACAAGATTAATGCAAATACTTGTACTAGATCATGGGGATCAAACCAAAAGAATTATTTCGGTTTAACCACCAAATCATCATGATACTTAATCCAGTCTGAAGGTGAGCTTACTTACCATTGTCTTTTTCATGATATGTCCCATTAGATCAAATCTGAACCCATCAACCTAGGGCAACAACTATACAATCATAAATATAGATAATAATGAATAATAGGTCAGTGTTAAAAGACATGCTACCACTAACACAATTTTTTTGGCCAAAAAAGAAAGGAGAGAAGCAGCATGTTGTCATTAACTCGTTAATGTATTTCCTGTGATTCTACACAAGATCATCTACATATTTTCCTGTGATTCTACATATGTATGATATTTTACAATTACGACTCACTTTGTAATTTACTGCCCAATTCAGAAGGTCATCCACGATTAATCTATCAACCATGAACTGCTCACTTGCTGTATTGTTCACAGCTGCGCTGTTCTCAATCTGACCATTAGAGTCCCTTCTAAGGTAGTATCCAGGTACGATCTGTAAATATCATCAACAAACAATGATTAGGAATAAGGATACATGAAGAAGGTAGCACATATGTCATCTTTTTTGTCAAAAAATGGATGAGGAACTTTGAGATAACTGACAAATGTATATGTTAGAACTATAAAACATATTTCAGGGCCAATGAACAAAGCAATCAAGGGGCAAGCATTTCAAATACCTGCCATTTCTTTGTCCAAAACTATAGTTCACCTATTTCTTTCTACTGGTATACAACATAGCATCCAAGGAAAGCTATTAGTATATATTTTTATAATTTATAGGTCAGTGGAACATTTTATTAGCTTCACAGAAAGGACACTTTGGTTTTTTGAGGGGAAGAAAGGACACCTAGTAGTGTTCAGTAAACCAAAACTATTTTCAATGTCCCAGGCTTGAAAGAAAACTTCACTAATTTATGTAATGTAATGGTTTTTTATCTGAACTACATTGTAAAAAAAAAGGTTACTATAGAACTAGTTAAGAGAAGTAACTTCAATTGGACATCAGTTAACCTCTAATATGTATAACTCTAGAGTTGGACCAATTTCAATGAAACAATAGCAGGGCCTTCTGGGATCCAGTTTCTTGAGAAATAGTTTCAGTTTCAGTTTCTTGTAAGAAGTGTTTTTTCTCGTTGGGTTTCTGATTCCTGGAAATTTGTTTGGCTAACTGGTTTCTCCCTTGCACTGAAAAAATAAAAACATTTCAACTGGTTTCTGTTTAAAAACATCAGGTTTGCATCATTTGGCAGAATTTCTGTGGTTTATGCCAAGAAACTCAGCCTAAAAATCCTGCAAAACAGGCCTTTTTTATGTCTTTAACTCTGCATATGAGAAATGACCTGATGTGATCTTGTGAGGCCCCATGGCACGTTTGGTAGAGCTTAGGGCGGCTCTGGCTCGGGCTCCTCCATGCACGGAAGTGAGAAGCCTCTTTTATCTCTCCTCTCAAAATTAACTAGGAGCCGGTGAAGAAACTATTTCTGGCTTCACCCACTCTGGCTCCGTGTAAGGAGCCCGGAGTCGTTTGGAGCCATGCTAAACGGGGCCTAAGTATATTTAATAAAGATTAAGAAATACTTTTTTATTTGGGATGGTTAAGGAAAAAAAGAACATAACCAGAAAACATGAGGCAACCTTGTCAAGCACGGAAGTGATGGCAAAAGGGCCACTTGAGTATAGATGATTGTATACAACATCCATGACAACTCGAAGACCTAGGCGATTCAAGGCCTGCACTTCAAAGTTTATCATAAAAACATCTGTTATCCTGCAAAGTGCCACATTAAGCACACAAGTCCTTCCTCCATGCATTGCAATAGCAGGAATAGGATGAGTGATGCAAGTTGCAACTGTTCATGTAAGAAAGTTCAGTGATAGAAAGAAAAGCTTACCTGCACCATCTGTCGGTACTCAATGATACGACTTGGACCATCTGGGTTACTTGCATAGCTTCCTTTCGGAACCCCCCAAAGCACAGGATTATACCTTTTAGTTGTATGTGACCATGCATGAGAATAGTTTGTGGGCAATAACATAAGAAACATAACATTCATAGCACACCCTTGTGATACATTAAATATTGCATGTTTGACAAGCAAGAGAAATGAAGCAAAACAATAAGTACCCCCAATTATAAGGGTCCTCTTCCTGAATAGCCACAATTGCAGCTTGTTGCAAATCTGATCCTGGAGGGAGTTTTGACAGTTCAGCCTCATCTGCCAAAGTACATAAAAGTTCTGTACTTACTCAAACAAGAATAACCTTAATAAATAAAATAAAAGCACACAAAATGTAGCTGATGGAGTCCAGTTTAATCGATTGAAAACTTATTGATAGTAATCATAGAAAGCTATGTATGAAATAAAAAAAAGGAAGATACATGGAACCATATTAAACCCTAAAGAGATGAAATTTCTTTGATTCAAAACGATACGTTATGAGGTTTACATATATCTTAATATTCTAATTCATAGACCAGACTAAAAAGCTTGGGTTCTGATTTCTTAGCTATTGTAGAAGTTAAAAGTAAATGAATAGCATGCAAGACGCAACAGTGGCATTACCATCTTGATTCTTGAGCAAGACTGCAAGAGATTTACATTTGTCTGGTAAAACATAGAGAAAGAGATGAATCTTTACCAACACATTTCCAATTGTTCTTTATGTCATCAACACCACCAAACTGAAAGCTTGGCAACAAATGGACATGAGTCAAACCGGCATCAGATAGTTTCTTTAGGTGTTCTATGCCTGCAGAATCCTGTATAACAAGTTGTAGAATGGGTCTAAGATGCCTGTTGATGAAATAAAGTGGTGAAAAATCTGAATTTTTTGTTAATTTAACTGTAAATAACCTGACATGTAAATGCACAGAACCCTCCTCGAAAATTGCAGTCCACTGTGCTATCATGGGCACTGTAATAAAAAAATTTGACAGCAAGCAGAGGGCTCAATTCTGTGTATACTAGCATGCATAGATCCATCCCACCAAATTTACAGTCGCAGAGAACAGTTCACCTGAAATCACGAATGTGCAATTCATATATGCTTATGTCAGAGAAGGAATCAAGCTTTGGCTTTTCAGCCGCCAATCCATCCCAGGCAAGTGGCTTTAATGTTTCATTATTAATATCAACCAACCAAGTCCTTGTACTATTTGCAGAAAGCCTGGTCAAAATAACAAGCATTAATGTCTTCCTATTTCTCCATGGCTAGTATCATGAACTAAGAAAAATGCACTTTACCCTCTAGCATAAGGATCAGTGGCTAAACATTTCTCAATGTTTGCTGTAGCTGGATGATATACCGTGACTTCATATAGATAATACCGGTTCTCCCAGTTTCTTGGACCAGTAACACTCCAAACACCATTTGACTCATTGAGTTGAACTGTTTCCAGTAAAGGGCCAGCTGGACCATCATAGAAGTTCACACATACATCCTGTGCTGTAGGAGCCCATAGGTACAAACTCACAGCTTCCTCACTAAAAATAGTACCAAGTGGTCCAGTGTAGGCGAACATGTCATCCAATACTCCAGGTAGTTGCGACCCAGTAACATCTTGCCTGTTCCCATGAGCTGCTTGTAACAATACATATTGTCCTGATGAAAGTTTTGGTGAAGGTATTTACAGAAAAGGCAGCATAGTTTAGACATTACCATCAAAAGAAGCAACAGCAAGTTGACATTTCACCAAGGTGGCAACATCAACAGAGCTCGGAATTCTAAAGGCTCTATAAGAGCTGATAAAAGGGAATTTCTGGGTCACCTGAAGATAGTGAAATGGTACTCCAATGTTAGAATATTGTTTGGAAAAACAAAACAGAAAGAGGGACAATCATAACAGGAACTGCAGCACAACAGATAATTACAATAATACTCGTACACTGGATGGAAGTCCGTCATTTTCTGGTTGCAGCTCAACTTTGGAATCATAACCTACCAAACCAGCAAGAATTGTAACGTTAATGAGGCTCAGGCTGTTACTATCGTAATCAGTTGGTGCATGAGTTTACAAGGCACCTGTTGATGGCACCTACCTTCAATAACCCCACTTGACATGCACATTGTAGCATTTCTGCTTGCATATAAGAAGAGAGAAGTTTCCTGATCACTGACATCCCATGCAATCAAGGATCTTGTCACCCAGTAAGCCCTCGCATCCAACAAGAACCCCTGCAAATGCAACATCAGCGTTTGACCAAAGGAACACTAAGAAGTCAGAAAGCAGTATCAAACAAACAAAATACTAAAAAATCCTCAGTAGAAGGCTTTGAGTGAGCTGCAGACGCCATTTTAAGAGCAACTCCAAGAGACTTGGTAAAATTAGATGCTAAATTGTGAGATTTAGCCATTATGTAAAATAGAAAGCCCATATAAAATGTAGAGTTTTACAACAGCCTAGCTAAATTGGAAAACACAGATAGCAAGGACTCGCTAGGGAAATATGGCCAGCGAGAATGGTGTGATACCCAGCTAGGAAAAATGGAAAACAATATAGACAAGCTGTTGGAATCCTTTTTTGGAGCACAATAACTATAAATGGCTTCACGAATACATTTACCTAGTCTGTTGGAGTTGCTCTAACAGTGGGGCCAAATCAGAAATAAACCATCCATGGTAAAATTTTGTGCTCCAAAGTTTTGGGCAACAACATGGTCTGAAATGTGAGACTTGGACCGATAATTTCCACTGAAGACACTAAAAGTTCAAATTCTACGGAAGTACTGTCCAATCTTGTAGACAAATGTACACATATCATTCCCATATGCTGGATCCAAATATTTCACAATGTTCAAAGGAAAACCTTCCAGTTTTCGTAAAAGTTCACTGGTTTCCAAATGTATGCCACTCTTAATGACAATGACAAGTGGACCACCATCATTATCCTGCTGGTGTTCGTGCAGGTGGAGCACCTGAAGAGCTCAGGATCAGATCACCACCACGAGCTCACTAATGGTGGATGGCGTTCGTGTGACTACCATGTGCACCCGACCAATACAGGTTAAGGGGTAATGGCGTAATTGTTGGCATTGGCAAAAAGGTAGCCCAAGCGATAATAATTGCGTAAACTCCGCAACGTGAGGAGCGGCAGTGTCGGCCGAACCTGGGTGGCCTCGGCGAGGCCGAGGTCAGAGCCGGCGCCCTCCTCCCCCGTCGCCATGGGGGCCCTCGGCGCGACGGGACGCACCCTCCGGGGCCCGGGTGCAGCGGCGCGCGCGGAATGAGACGTCGGCGGCGAGGATTGCGGTGTCCTCCATCTCCTCGGCGAAGCTGACGACGGGGCGGTAGCGTCGGCGAAGCGCGGAGGTGGCGCGAGCAGGAACGAGGGACCGGCGTGGAGCAGCATTTGCATCGGCGTTTCGATTCGGAGGGAGAGAGAAGAAGGCGGAGAGGCCAGCCTCGCAATAAATACTTGATTTATTTCTTTATTTACTTATGTGACATTAGAAGTGGACAAACTGACAAAGAGAGACGGAGGAAGAAGAAAGCCTAGAAGAGTGTTTGTTTGGCTAATAGCTACCGTGACCATCTTCTCTCTTATCTTTTTCTTTTCATTTCTATACATAACCCCTTTTCCTATGTTTAATTCACACTTTCGGGCCATTTATTCTTTTTTCTTTTGTTTTCTTGTTATATCTTTCGGCTCCCCTTTGTTAGTATTATATGCTTTATTAAAAGATTTTGACTCACCGTGAACCAAGCTGTGTGTTTATTGTGGAACGGGGAGGATATGTATTTGCGTAGCTGGGAAGAGGAACGGACATAGTTGTAAAGACAAGAAAGAGGAGCCTGTAAGGTATCCAGCTCATTTCCTTCCAACCTCAATCAGTTTCTTCGGTTGACTGGTTCATATTATTGTTGGTTTATTTATGTGAGAGAGAAGTACTGTTGGCTGGTTCATGTGAACAATATTTCTGTGAGAGGCCAGCCCAGCCAGCCAGCCGCTCCCAGCTGAACGGGACGAATGTTTTTCATCTGGCATGTCTTCGCGTGTGGTTTTCATATTTTCTAAAGTTATTAGTTTCTCGTCTTTTCTATACATTTAGTCTTCATATCAACCACATTATGAGGACAAAAGATTGATCAATACATACCTCATGCTAATGGTTTCTTTCTTTGTGCTACCGTGTGGACAAGGGATAAAAAAGGAGTGTCTAATCATCTCATTTGGCTCTTTTTTATAGCATTTGATTGAGAGATAACATAGGGACAAATGTTTGGTTCAGAGACACGGTGTGATGTGGGGGTGCCATTATGAAAGGCGTTCCAGGACTCAGATGTGGCCAGAAGGGCCAGAGCGGCATCCAAGGAGGTACCGCCTATAGTCAACAGCAATTAAGGTTTATGGGCAAGGGATTAGAGTAATGAGATAATATTTAATGGGGAGAGAAACGAAGAGATCAGAGCTGGGCGCCCAAGGGCTGGGGCTGCTCTATATATTTTGTAATCAGCTTATGATGAATCAATCAAGAAACAAGTTATCTCCTAATCTACCTTTGCTGCTCTTAATCTCACCCCCTTCACCATAGGGCTTCCAGGGAAGAATCCCAGCGCCAGTACCCAATCTACCTACGAACTCCGGAGTCGGGGACCTGCTGTCTTGGGCACCAACGCCCTTGACAACCTGGTATCGGCTTCCAGGCGTTCTTCATCCGCTACTAAGCCACCACCACCCCCTCCAGCCACCACCACGCCTCCCACCCTGGCCTCACCATCCACCTCAAACGCCTCCATATCCTCAACCATGGCCGAACCATTAGCAGTTGATCTGCCCAAGTTGATCCAGGACTTGACCACCTCCATGAACGCCTCCATCAGCACCCTCTAGAGACAGGTGGCGGCCCTGCAACAAGAGTGACTAGCAGCATCCTTCTGAGGCTTCCAAGGTTCTGGCCATGGCAACCAGATGGGTGATCGACCGCCCCGATTCCAGAAGCTCGACTTCCCCAAATTTGACGGGAAGTCTGATCCGCTGGCCTTCCTAAACTGCTGTGAGTCATATTTTCATCAGCAACGCATTGCGGTGGAGGAACAAGTGTGGATGGCATCATACAACCTAGAGGCTGGCGCCCATATGTGGTACCTCTAGGTGCAGCAAGATGAGGGCACTCCATCCTGGCGGCGTTTCTCTGAATTGCTGAACCTCCGCTTCGGGCCGCCGATCCGGTCCAATCCACTGGGTGAACTGATGGCATGCAAGCGAACCGGCTCTGTCTCCGAGTACTAGGACCGGTTCGAGGCTCTGCTGCCCCACGTTGGCACGCTGATGGAGGCTCAGCGCGTCTAGGCCTTCACGGCAGGACTCCAACCACCACTCAGCCTCGACGTTGAGATCCACAATCCCTAATCCCTCATCGTCTCCATGAGCCTCACCCGCACACTAGAGCAATGCGAGCAGTACGTCGGGGTGGCTGCATCACTGCCTGCTCCACCACGGGCGTCGGTACGCGGCCTCATCACAGGGCCGGCCCCTCAGCTAGCGCTCCCTGCTCCCCCGACCAGGACTGGATCCTCCACGGTCTACGTCGAAGGCCGCCAGGTAAAGCGTCTTTTGCGGACCGAGATGGAGGAACACCGTCGCCTCGCCCTCTGCTTCAACTGCAATGAAAATTTTGGCCGGGGTCACAACCGGGTCTGCCAGCGCATTTTCCTCCTCGACCTGGCTGAAGAAGATGAAGTTGAAGATGTCTAGGTCACTGAGGATGTGGCTACAGCTGAGGCGGTCAATCCGCACATCTCGCTGCACGCCATCGCTGGCGTCCGCACCAGCGAAACAATGCAAGTGCGTATCCAGCTGGGCGGTGCCTCCCAACTCGCGCTCATCGACTCTGGCTCGACACACAATTTCATCTCTGAAGAAGCCACAACATGCACTTCGCTTCAGCTCCTGCCCCGTGGAAACATGAAGGTGATTGTGGCCAATGGGGAGCGCGTGTCGTGCCCTGGCATGTACCGCGTAGCGGCCTTCTCCATCGACGACAAGACCTTCTCCACCGCCTTCTTCGCCCTGCCGCTAGCCAGCTATGACGTCGTCCTCGGCACCCACTGGTTGGCATCCCTCAGGCCAATTCTTTGGGATTTCAGAGCGCTCACCATGTCATTTTGGCACCGGGGTCATCGCGTCTGCTGGCAGGGCGTTGCCGGGCCAGTCAGCCCCTCTCTGCAGGCATGCAACAATGTCAACCTTCTTTCGGCCTTGCTAGATGAGTTTAGCTCTGTCTTTGCCGAGCCCACCGGCATGCCGCCACCACGACCCCGGGAACACTGCATCAACCTCGTCCCAGAGTCCTCGCCAGTGGCTGTCCACCCCCCTACCGCTACCCCGCCTCCCACAAGGATGAACTGGAGCGCTAGTGCTCCACCATGCTGGCACAGGGGCTGATCCAGCATAGCAACTCGGCATTCTCATCCCCTGTGTTGCTGGTCAAGAAGGCGGACGATACGTGGCAGTTCTACGTCGACTACAAAGCCCTCAACGCCATCACCATCAAAGATGCTTACCCAATTCCAGTGGTGGATGAACTCTTGGATGAGTTGCATGGTGCTCGCTACTTCACCAAGCTTGACCTGCGTTCCAGCTACCATCAAGTCCGCATGAACCCCGCTGATGTGGAGAAGATGGCGTTCTGGACTCACGATGGCCTCTATGAGATTCCTCGTGATGCCATTTGGGTTGTGCAACGCCCCGGCCACATTTCAGGCGCTGATGAACGATGTGTTGCGCCCCTTCTTGCGCCGCTTTTTCCTCGTCTTCTTCGATGATATTTTGATCTATAGCAGCTCGCTGGCGGAGCACCTGCACCATGTCTGAGCTGTCCTCTTCGTGCTTCACCAACATCGCCTCTTTGTCAAGCGCTCCAAGTGCACTTTCGGCGTCGACTCCATCTCATACCTGGGGCATATCATCTCCGCTGCTGGGGTGGCCATGGACCTTAAAGAGGTCCAGGCGGTAGCAGACTGGCCTACCCCACAATCAACACGCGCAGTCCGCGGTTTCCTAGGCTTGGCGGGCTATTACCGCAAGTTCGTTAAAGAGTTTGGCACTATAGCAGCACCGCTGATAGCCCTGCTAAAAAAGAGGGGTTCGCCTGGATAGAGGCAGCCAGCTGGGCATTCTCCTCCCTCAAGAAGGCAGTCACCACAGCGCCCGTGCTCGCCCTCCTCGACTTCGAGCAACCCTTCGTCGTGGAGTGCGATGCCTCCACCTATGGGTTTGGTGCCGTCCTTCTCCAAGGCCAGCACCCGGTGGCTTTTTTCAACCGCTCAGTGGCACCACACCATCAGTCATTGGTGGCATATGAACGGGAACTCATCGGCCTCGTCCTCACCATACTTATGGGGGTGATGTTTTCTGAGTAAGGACTGACCACTATAGTCTTAAATTCTTATTGGATCAGCGCTTGGCTACCACTCCCCAACACCATTGGGTGGGCAAGCTGTTGGGCTTCGATTTCTTAGTTGAGTACAAGGCGGGCAGCACCAACATAGTGGCAGATACGCTGTCCCACCACGACACCGAGGAAATAGCGGTCCTCGCCATCTCTGGACCTTGGTTTGACTTCATCGACCGCCTCTGCCAAGCCACTAACTAGGACCCGCACTGGTTGCAATCAAGGATGAAATCGCCTCCAATCAGCGCGTGGCCCCTTGGTCCCTCACTGATGGACTAGTGGCACTCGAGGGGCGCCTCTACATCCTGCCTGACACCCCTCTCCTCTAGGAACTCCTCGCTGTAGTGCACGATGACGGCCATGAAGGCATCTAGCGCACCCTTCACCAGCTGCGTCCCGATTTCCACTCCCCCAACCTTCGTAAGGTGGTTCAGGACTACATCAAGGCTTGCGTGACCTACCAGTGCTACAAGTCTGAACACATGCATCTAGTGGGCCTACTTCTTCTGCTGCCCATCCTAACCACGGTCTGGGGCGACATCGGAATGGACTTCATCGAAGCGCTGCCCCGCGTTGGTGGCAAATCAGTCATCCTCGCGGTCGTTGATCGTTTCAGTAAGTTCTGTCACTTCATTCCGCTGTCTCACCCCTACTCGGCGGAATCAGTGGCACATGTCTTCTTCACTGACATCATCTGCCTCCATGGGGTCCCTTAGTCCATTATCTCGGACAGAGATCCAGTGTTCACTTCCATCTTCTAGAAGGAGCT